CAACTGTGAGATATTCAGTAGATATCTGTTCAGTCCATTTGATCCACAGTGTTTTTTTTTTTAAGATTTATTTATTTGAAAGTCAAGATTACACACAGAGAGAGGAGAGGCAGAGGGAGAGAAGTCTTCCATCTGATGGTTCACTCCCCAATTGGCTGCAATGGTCAGAGCTGTGCCAATCTGAAGCCGGGAGCCAGGAGCTTCTGCTGGGTACAGGGGCCCAAGGACTTGGGCCATCTTCTACTGTTATCCCAGGCCACAGAAGAGAGCTGGATTGGAAGAGGAGCAGCTGGGACTAGAACTGGCACCCATATGGGATGCTGGCACTTCATGCTGGGGTGTTAACCTGCTGCGCCACAGCACTGGCCCTGGCCCATAGTGTTGATTAGCTCTGATATTTCTTTGTTGGTTTTCTGTCAAGTTGATCAGTCGATTGATGAAACTAGATGTTGAAGTCCTCCATTATTGGACTCCATGTTTCCCTTTATGTCAATTAAAAATTATTTTAAATAGCCTGGTGCTCTGGCATTGGTGTATATATTGGATGTTTATTATATCCATGTCTTCCTGTTAAATTGATCCCTTAATTATTGCATAGTACCCTTCTTTGTGTCTTTAAATGAGAGTTACACACAAAGAGAAGGAAAGGTACAGAGAGAGAGGTTGTCCATCTGCTGGTTCACTCCCCAGTTGGCCTCAACAGCTACAGCTGAGCCATTCTGAAGCCAGGAGCTTCTTCCAGGTCTCCCACACAGGTACAGGGGTCCAAGGACTTGAACCATCTTCTGCTGCTTTTTCAGGCCCATAGCAGAGAGCTGGATTAGAAATGGAACAGCCAAGACTTGAACTGACACCCATATGGGATGCTAGAACTGCAGATGGTGGTTTTACCCACTATGCCACAACACCAGCTCCTGATGACATATTCTTTCAATTTCTGTTTGTTATGGAGAGTTTTTTTTTCACCTTCATTCATAAATGAGAGCTTTGCAGGACATAGTATTCAGGGGTGACAATCTCTGCATTCTCTCCTAGCCTGTAGAGTTTCTGATGAGAAATCATCTGTGTCTAATTGGATATGTTTCTGAAGGTAATCATGTTTCTCTTGTGTACATTTTATAATTTTTATTAATGCTTTACTGTTGAAAGTTTGACTGCAAAGTATCATGGTGAAAATCTTTTTAGGTCATGTGTATTAGGAGTTCTGTGTGCTTCCTGTACATGAGTGTCCCTTTCTTTCTCCAGGTTAGGGGACTTTTCCATAATTACTTCACTGAATACACCTTCCAATGTAATCTCTCTTTCCATACTTTTAGAAAATCCAAAGATCTATTTATATTGGGTCATTTGATAGTATCCCATCAAAAAGTTTTTAACTTACAATTTCATCCTTTTTTCTCATCCATGACATTTCCTAAGATTTACCTTCCCACTCAGATACTTTTTACTCTGCTTTACACGTATGTTGTTAAGAATTCCACTGTATTTTTTATTTGACATTAACTTCTTTAGTTATAATATTTTCTTTGGTTTCTCTTCTAAATCTCTATTTCACAGATATGTTTTTCTTCCAAGTTATATATGGATTTCTTTAATTCATTGGATTTCACATTTCATCCACTGCATAAAAAAATCAGAAGTGAATTCTATTCCTTTTTAAACATATCCCCAATGTTTTCCCTTAGATATCTAGTTTCATGCTTTGGAAATCTAGGAATATATAATATTACTGTTGACTAAAATTCCTGTACAACTTTTTCTGATACAATGATTCCTCTCCCTTTCAAGAATTGTTTTAAAACTTTACAATATTGTTTAGTCTTGATCTTTAAATCCTACCCCATTACTCTGGGTAAAGATAAACTCCATTCACAAAAGTTATGGTCATTACTGGATGTTTGGGCAGCCTTCTTCTCCATTAAACTTTTCATTTTCATTTGTTTGAGGTGATCCTTCCTCGTCAGGTCCCTGTTCAGGTGCCCCTTGCTGTGAACCATGCAGCAAATATGCAGGTTGAAGAGGTGATGGTGTGCAATGAAAGGAAAATAAAAGATTATAGAAAAGTAGGGGCCAGCAGGACTCTCTCCAAGCAAGGAGCAGGAACTTCTCTCTGTCTTGCCCTGTGGCTTTTATTTTTGCCCTTTTTGTTTTAAATTATTTGACAGGTAGAGTTACAGACAGTGAGAGAGAGAGAGACAGAGAGAAAGGTATTCCTTCCATTGGTTCACCCCCCAAATGGCTGCTATGGCCGGTGCTGTGCTGATCCAAAGCCAGGGGCCAGGTGCTTCTTCCTGGTCTCCCATGCAGGTGCAGGTGCCCAAGCACTTGGGCATCCACCACTGCCTTCCTGGGCCACAAAAGAGAGCTGGACTGGAAGAGGAACAACTGGGACTAGAACCCAGTGCCCATATGGGATGCCAGCACTGCAGGCAGAGGATTAACCAAGTGAACCATGGTGCTGGCCCTATTTCTGCCAGATACCCTTGGTGACACCAGGACAAGCCTCTGCTTAACTAAAAACAGCATTCTCTACATGCAGATCTTGACCAGATATCATGTGATCACCACCTGACCCAGAAAGAGGAATAGAACATTTGAGTAAAAAATTTCCTTGAACTTGCTACATCCCTGGAGGCGAGTGGGCCGTGCCCCACTACTGGCTTTCCAAGCTGCAATGTCCCAGATTAGACTGTTCACATAACTCCCAGCTTCATTCTGCTGCATTCCTCAAATGGCTGCAGTGATATTTTCCACCTGGCCTCTGGCAATGTCTCTCTTTGGTCTCCTTCCCCATTTGCCTCCAGTGGAGTCTTCTTTGCACTTTAGAGTGCAAATATCTTTAAGTAACTACCACATTCTATTGAAGCACCCTGTGCCTGAGGGAGTGAGTACTCATTTTCATGTAAAAATAATAATTATTCTAATTGTTGCAGGATACATTATGATGCTTATGAACATACTTTATAAACAAGTTTACAAAAGTAGCACATAAAATTTTATTGGGTCAAGTATATAAATATTAATTATCAGTTCCTTGGACAATTTTTTAAAAAGATTTATTTATTTATTTGAGAGGTAGAGTTACAGAGAGAGGGAGAGATGAGGAGACAGGTTTTCTATCCACTGGTTCACTCCCTAAATGGTTACAATGGCTGAAGCTGGGTCAATATAGAAATCAGGAACTAGAAGATTCTTCCAGGTCTTCCACATGGGTGCAGGGGCCCAAGCACTTGGACCATCCTCTACTGCTTTCCCAGGCCAACACCAGAGAGCTGGAAAAGAAATGGAGCATCCAGGACTCCACCTGGCACCCATACAGAGTGCCAGTGCTAACAGCAGAGGCTTGACCTACTACATCATAGTGCCAGGCCCTCCTTGAACACTTTCACTGTCTTCATCTCATCATAGCCCAGGACCACTCACCTAGATGTAGTGGAGTTTTTTTTCCCCAGTACCTGGCCTGTGTTCTTTGCTATTTACCACTATTCTTGTTGCATCTTAACATAAACACATTCTTGCATAAGATGTCACCATCTTTGGTGTTTCAATGAACAGTAATCAGATAATAGAGACAAATATATTGCTTTAAATTTTTGAAAAAGGATTTATATTACTTGAACCATAATTAAGGAGAGATCTTCAATCCATTGGTTAACTACTCCAATGACTACAATTGCCAGCTCTGGGCCAAACCAAAGCCAGGAACCTAAAGCTCCAACTGTGTCTCTCACATGGGTGGTAGGGTCCCAAATACTTGCAACAGCTCCTGTTCCTTTCCCAGGCACATTAGCAGGAAGCCAGATTGGAAGTATAACAGCCATAACTCTAAACATTGACCTTAAGGGATGCCAGCATCACAGGAAGCAACTTAACCCATTGAGACAAAACATTGCTCCCTCCCCAAATCTATTTTAAAGGAATTTTCTTTTCACCTTGGTCAATCTTGAGCATGTGTCTTTTTTAGTTCATCTGGCATGCTAGTTTTGTTTTGCATTTATACTTATGTTTACTGATTACCATGTGAACAGCTTTCAGAATCATTAGAAGAAACCCCAGTTCTAGAATATTAAGGGAAACTCTATTGTGATTTTGGAATTTAAAAATTTTTTTTTTTTTGACAGGCAGAGTGGACAGTGAGAGAGAGAGACAGAGAGAAAGGTCTTCCTTTGCCGTTGGTTCACCCTCCAATGGCCGCCGTGGCCGGCGCGCTGCGGCCGGCGCACCGTGCTGATCCGATGGCAGGAGCCAGGAGCCAGGTGCTTTTTTCCTGGTCTCCCATGGGGTGCAGGGCCCAAGCACCTGGGCCATCCTCCACTGCACTCCCTGGCCACAGCAGAGGGCTGGCCTGGAAGAGGGGCAACCGGGACAGAATCCGGCGCCCCGACCAGGACTAGAACCCGGTGTGCCGGCGCCGCTAGGCGGAGGATTAGCCTAGTGAGCCGCGGCGCCGGCCCGGAATTTTAAAATTATTTTAAGGGTAGGGTAGTTTCATTGTGATTTTGCTCTCTGTTGCCATATAGATTACAGAGGAAACTGTTATATATAAGTAGCAAATAAGACACTCAGAAAAATCCTCTTCCAGTCTTTGTGATTAGTGATCCAGGACTGATATGTTGAAGATGAATGTGCTGTTACAGGTGTTGGTGTCATTTGAAGACCTGGCTGTGGACTTCACCAAGGAGGAATGGCAGAACATGAATCATTCTCAGAGGATCCTATAGGATGTGATGCTAGAAATCTATAGCATCCTACTGTCCTTGGGTAAGTAAAAACCAGCTTGTACCCAGGTAGAATTATTTTTTCTCAGTTGAAAATTCAACAATTTATAAGGTTTCATATCTGGTTGGTATAGGATTTTAGGCCGTGAAAAATTCTTCCCTCTAGAAAGCAATTCAACTTGGCCTTTTTCTGGCACTGCTTCTGGGCCCAAGCTGTTGTCCCTCAAAACCCAAAGTTAGTGGTTTCACAAAGTCAAACATGATTTCCTATTAAAAGGGCACTGCATAAACAAGCCTGAGGTGATCTTCAAGTTGGAACAAGGAGCAGAACCATGGATGGTGGAAAAACCCCTGAACCAGAGCCTTTCAAGTAAGTGAGCACATGTTGGTCAGGGTGACTGGGACAGAAAGCTCAGCAGATGCTGACTGCAGCATTACTCACTTTTCCTAAATCCCAGAATTTCTGCCAGCTGGTATCATACATGCAACAAAGGCATTCTACAGCCTCCAAGTAAGGCTGCCTTGCATATATCCATCTAGCTGCTTTCCTGCTCTTGCTGAATATTTTCTTAGATTAACCAAAATGCAAGTGTTTTCTGGCTTTTATAAAGCTGTTTTCTCAGTTTGTTACATCCCCTGAATTCTAACTTTTCTTTCTTCCTACCTTCAAAGCCTGTTCTGTGACATTTATTCAATTATTTATTCATTCTTTCAGTGCTTATTAATTGGCCAGCTCATAGACAATGTTTTACTACTTGCTGAAATTGAATTTCCACTTCTGGCTTTGAACAGACACAGGCCTTGTTATTGCTCAAATTTGTGGATGAAACGAGTGAATGGGAGCTCTCTCATTGTCTCTGTCAAATAAATAAGAAAATAATAGGTTTTGCAAATATTTAAAAGGTGAAATGGCTCTGTCCTTATTCTTTCTGGCTCTCATTCTCTCATTCTCTGACCCATAAGTAAATAAAAAAAGAGCCTTTGTATTGTGACATCAGAAATCATGATACTAAGCATGAACTTACATAGGAACATGAAAATTGGTGGTCCTATGCTCACCAGGAGATTGACATCTAAGGACAAGTGTACCTGTGAATTTTATTGAACAGCTCATGTTTGCTTGGGAGGAGAGTTTGAACTTAGAATTCCTCTTTCTTTTTCTTTCTAAAAAGATATACTTTATTTTTTGAAGGCAGAATGAAAGAGAGACAGAGGAAGATCTTCATTCTGCTGGTTCACTCCTCAAATGGCCATATTGGCCAGGGCTGTACTAGGCTGAAGCCAGGAGCCTTAAACTCCATCTGGGTCTGATACATGCATGGCAGGGGACCAAGTGCTTGAGTCATTTTCCATTCCTTTCCCAGGTCCATTAGCATGGAGCTGGATCAGAAGCAAAGCAGCTAATTCTCAAACTAGCATTGCAAATATGGGATGCTGGTATTGCAGAAAGTAGCTTGTGCTGTGCCATAATAACCCTCTCTTTTTTTAAAATATAATTCTAAAATGGAAAAGAGATAAATGTATAAGGGACTCAGCTTTTCTTTGAAAGGAGTTGACAAGAAATCCTCCAACACAGAAATCAAAAACATTCAAAACTTCAAATTATCAAACAGCAGTGTATAGAAGAAAAATAATAGGGAAAAGTAATGTCCACTGGAAAGTATTCAACATACTATTCCATTTAGAAAGTGAGTGGACATTTTTATGAAATGCTTTTCCACCTTCAAAAATGGTTATTTATCAGAATATTCTTGCAGCGTAGTGGGTAAAGATACCACCTGCAATGTTGGCATCCCCTTTGGAGGCTAGTTTGTGTCCTGGATGCTCTACTTCCTATCCATCTACATGCTAATGTGCCTAGGTAAGTAGTGGAAGATGGCCCATGTGTTTGTAACCCTGCCACAAATGTGGGAGACCCAAAGTTCCTGACTCTTGGCTTCTTTCTGGTGTGGCCCATGTGCGTTATGGCCATCTGGAAGTGAACCAGCAGATGGAAGATCGATCTCTCTCTCCTATTCTCTCTCTTTAACTGCTTTTCAAAGTTTGAATTTTCAAAGTCAGAGTTACACAGAGGAAGAGATAGAATCATGTCCTCTACTGGTGCACTCCTCAAATAGTTGCAATAGCCAGGGTGAAGCTAAGAGTTCAGGGACCCAAGCACTTGTACTATATTCCACTGATTTCCCAGACACAGTAACAGAGAGCTGGATTGTAACTGGGGTAGCATGGCCTTGAACTGACATAGCAGGTGGTGTTTTTACCTGTTGCACCACAATGCTAGCCCCAATAAATCTGAAAATATACAAATTAAATTATTTTAGTTATTTTCATCCACTTGAAAGAATGTCAGTGAGAGCAGGAGAGAGTAATATCTTCCATTCTTTGATCTGCTGCCAAATTTCCTGAACCATTAGTAGTAGACCAGTCTGAAGCAAAATGTCTGCAATGATATCTAGACTTTTCAAGTGTATATTCAGGTATTTCAAGTGAGTGGCAGAGTTGCAAGCACTTGAAGCATTATTCACTGCCTACAAGGATATATGATCAGCAAACTATATTGGAAACAGAGTAGCCGAGGCTCAAACTAGCACAGTTATGGGAAGCAGCCATCTCAAGCAGTGGCTTGACCCACTTGCCCAACTTAAAAAATATTAAGGTAGTTAAGAATATTTTTGAATATTGGGAAAACTATTGTAAAAACCACCAAATGATCATAAATGAATAACGTCTACTGATGTTAAATCCATGCAACTAAGATAACAATAAACTTGCTTTTCAACAAGCATTCCAAAAGAAACAGTTTGATATGGTTCATGAATTTGGTTACTTTTTTCTCATTGCAGTTGCTAACAGAAAGGATGACCTTATCAAAACCAACCAGAAAAGTGAAGAAGTAAATTTGAGGCAAGTTGTAATTACAAAAGTATCTCAACTCCCAACAGAGTTGAATTCAGAAAAAAAAAAGAAAAGATTTAATTTAACCTCAGGACATATTTGTAACCTGATTATATAAAAGGAAAATAGTTTAGGAAAGAAACCTGAAGTATATGACTTATTGAATGTTCTACTCTCTAGGGGACCTGATGAAATACCAGCTGGAGAGAAACCTCATGGACCTAATGTCACTGGGAACTCACTCCAATACTTGGAACATCTTAGTCAACATCACCAGATTCAGAATATACAGCAGGCTTTTGAACACAGTGGCCAAGGGAAATGCTATAACAGGAAGAGACTATCCTTTGAATGTGAGAGGATTTGTGTGGAACACACCTCTAATAAATCAACTGTCATTTCAGGAAACAAAACTCTAGTTGAAAGTAAAAATTTCCATAAAAATGTCTATCTCAGTAAATATCAAAAAGCAGGAGAGAATCTCCATGGATCTTTTGAGTATGATGAATCTCTGAATTACAAATCAGATCTTACAATGTATCAGAGAACACATATGGGGAAAACTGTCCATATATGTAAGCACTGTGGGAAGTCTTTCAGCTGTAAATCCTGCCTTACTATCCACCACAGAACTCACATAGGGGAAAATCTCATTGAGTGCATTGAATGTGGGAAAAGCATCTACCAGAAGTCAGACATCACTGAAGACCAGAGCATTGCCACAATGGAAAATCTTCATGAATGTAGTGAGTGTGGAAAAGCCTTTTATCAGAAGTCATATCTCGTTAAACACCAGAGAATCCACACAGGAGAGAAACCTTATGAATGTAAGATATGTGGGAGAGCATTTTGCCAGAATTCACAACTTAGTACACATCAGAAAATTCACACAGGGGAGAAACCTTATGAGTGCAATGAATGTGGAAAAGCCTTTTGTCGGAAGTCACATCTCATTATGCATCAGAGAACTCACACAGGGGAGAAACCTTACAAATGTAATGAGTGTGGAAAAGCCTTTTCCCAGAGTTCAGTCCTCAATAAACATCAGATAATTCACACAGCAGAGAAACTTTATAAGTGCAATATATGTGGAAAAGCCTTTCGTTGGAAGTCAAGTATCATTATACATCAGAAAATTCACACAAGGGAGAAATCTCATGAATGCAATAATTGTGGAAAACCCTTTTGCCCCAGGACTGCCCTCATTAGCTGTAAGATAAATCATACAAAGGAGAAACCATGATTGTAACATGTTGAAAATCATTTTGCCACAGGTCTGCCCTCATTAACTATCAGAATTCACAGAAGAGAGAAACCTTGTGAATGTAATATGTGTGGAAAAGCATTTTGCCAGAAGTCCCAACTAATTTTTCATTAGAGCATGCTCACAGGGAAAAAAAAATCTTATAAATGCAAAGAATGTGTAGAAACATTTTTCCAGAATTCAAGGCTCAGTAGTCATAAAATTCACACAGAAGGAAACATTTTAAATTGACTAAATATAAAAAGGACATATTTTCCAGGAATACATGTCAGCATACATGACAGAATTCACACAAAGAAGAAAACCATGATAATGGAATCTTTGTGAACAATTACTTTGACAGAAGTCTTCAGCACACATGAGAGAAATCACAGGAGAAAAGATACATGGATATAGATGAAAATTTTCTACCATAGGCCAGCTGTTATTATCAGAGAACTTACAGAGGAAAATCTCTACACATGCAATGGAAGTGGAAAATCCATTTACTCAACGGCAATCTTCAGCAAAAATTACTGAATTTTGCAAAGAATGCACTGTATACATGTATTGGATGTGAAAAAAAATGTTTTTGCAAATCAAACTTCAACAGATTTTAGGGTTTTCACAGGAGGAAGTAACAAGGTATGAAGACCTGCTATATGTTCTTCAAAATCATCTTCCTTTGTGTCATACAACCTGCATTTTAAGCTTCCCTACTGTGAGTAGGACAGTGGAAATGAGCTCTGCTTTCACATGTGAGTGTTAATAAATATTGCCTATAATATTTACTTAAGGTGCCATTCTCATTTACAAAGTTACTTGATGCAGATGTTGTGTTGTCTGCCTATGATTTTTCCCCTACATTATTCTGGTACAGAACAGTGTTATGATCACAGTCACATCACCTCACTCATTTACGAGCCATAATGCTCTATTCTTAGCTTTGGATAATGAGTATTTTGCCTAGGGTAGGGAGTGAGTCTCCTGTAGTCATGAGTCTCTGAAGCCAGCAGAATCCCAAACTTTACTTTGTGTATGTCTTCTAGACTGCTGCTTTTTCCAGCTTCTGTGCTTTTCCTATTTCTACTTTTTTATTTATGTTTAATTTTATTTGTTAAACAAGTTTCATGTATTTCATATTGTACATATTGAGAACTATAGTAGGATTCCCTGCATTCTCCCTCCTCCCACAGTACAATCCTTCCTGCCCCTGCATCTGAGATACCCAGTCTTAATTTTACCATAATCTATTTCCAGTATACTTAATGATCATATAGTTAACCCTGCTCTAGGTAAAGGCATTCAACATGTAGTATGGAGAGAGAGAAACAATACAGAACAGAAGTAAAGAAATACTGTTACTCAATGGAAGAGGCAGGGCTATAAATAGTCCTCAGACCTCAAAATGTCTGTTTCACTCCAATACATTATATTTCAGCTATTCTTTTAGTTACATTGGATCAGAAGAAACATATGGTATCTGTCTTTTTGAGGTTGGTTTATTTCACTAATTATAATAGGTTCTAATTGCAACCATCTTGTTGTAAAAGACAGGATTTCACATTTTTTACAGTTAAGTAGTACTCCATAGTGTATATACACCATAATTTCTTTATATGCTCCACAGCTGATAAATATTTGGGTTGACTCTGTATCTCTGCTATTGTGAGTTGTGTTGCAGTGAATGTGGGGTTACCGATAACTATTTCAGATGCTGATTTCTTTGGTTTGAGTAAATTCCCAGAGAGGGATGTCTGGATCATATGGTATGTCTATATTCAGCTTTCTGATGTTTCTACATACTGTTTTCCACAGTGGTTACACCAGTTTACATTCCCACCAAGCATCAATCAGGGTACCTTTTCCCCACATCCTCTGCAGCATTTGTCATTTGTTTATTTCAGTACTCAAACCATTCTAACTGGAGTGAGGTGAGACTGTGGTTTTGATTTGTATTTTCCTGTTGCTAGTGATCCTGAGCATTTTTCAAAAATGTGTTGGCCATTGGAATTTTCTCTCTTGAGAAACTCATTTTTAAGTCTTTTGCCCATTTATTCATGGGATTGTTTGTTTTGTTGAATTTTTTTAGCTGTTCATAGATTCTGGATGTGAACCTTTTCTCAGTTGCATAATTTGCAAATATTTTCTCCCATTCTATGGGTTGTCTCTTCTGTTTGCTGAGTATTTCTTTTTTATTGCAGGAGCATCTCAGCTTGATGTAATCCCAGTTGTCAATTGTGGCTTTGATTGCATATGTTTTGGGTGCCTTTTCCAAGCAGTCTTTGCCTAAGTCAATGTCTGTAGAGTTTTTCCCATGCTTTCTAAAGATGTGGTGGTTTCCAGTCATAGATTTAGGTCTTTGATCCATTTTGAGTGGATTTTTGTTTAAGGTGTAAGATTGCATCTTTTTTAGATTTAGATATTAAGGTGATGCAGGTTTCATAAAAGGAGATTGCGAGGGTTCCTTTCAATTGTTTTGAATAGCTTGAGAAGAATTGAGATTAGTTCTGCTTTAATGTCTGGTAGAATTCAGTGGTGAAACCATCTGGTTCTGGGCTTTTCTTTATTGGGAGAGTCTTTATTATTGATTCAGTTTCCATCTTGGTTATTGGTCTGTTTAGGTTTTCTATATCATCATGACTCAATTTTCATAGGTTGTATGTTTCTTGAGATCTATCAATTTCTTCTAGGTTTCCTAGTTTATTGGCATGCATAATAATTTCTGATGACACTTTTTGTTTCTGTGGTATCTGTTATATTTATTTTTTGTCTGATTTTGTTGATTTGGGTCTTTTCCTTTTGTTTATGGTTAGTTGTGCCAATGGTGTGCCAATTTTTGTTCATTTTTTCAAAAAACAGCTCTTCATTTCACTGATTTTTTTTTGTATTTTTTGTTTCAATTTATTGTTTTTCTAGTTTCTTGAGATGCATAGATAGCTCCTTTATATGGTACTTTTCCAGTTTCTCTATGTAGGCACCAAGTGTTACACCAGTTATTACAAACTTTTCCTGTACCCCATATGTTTTGATATGTGTTGTCACCTTCATTTATGTCTAGAAATTTTATTTATTTTTTATTCTGTTACCCACTGTTCTTTCAGCAGCATGTTGTTCAGTCTCCATGTGTTCTATAGGAACACATCAACTAAATACCTTTGCAGTCCTGAGATTTTCCCAAAAAGAACATAAATGTGAGCAGCATTCAAATACCACCCAAAACTCCAACTCATTTGAATATCTGATTAGGAATTGCCTCAGAACCATCCCAACTCTAGAAAGGGAAAACGCCCAATCTTGTATTGCAACAATCATTTTCTTCTTAGGTTGCTCACCCTCTTATCTGGGAGTGTTCTGTTCCTTTTATCATTAATTTACTTCTGTTACTGGAATTTCCTCACATTTGGCAATAGGAAATTGGAGTACAATCTAGTTTTGGAATTCCTTCTTTAATGTAGACACTAGTACAGAGCTTCAGGGTTGTCTGATATGGTAGCTTCAGATTCTGTTTCTCTTTTTCATTACTTTTTCATTATCCTCTCCCTTCCAGGTGACCCTCAGTCTTTTTTTTTTTTTTTTTAATCTCTGTGAATTTCCCAACTCACAAAGTTTTTTCTGGCTGGACTCTAACTGGATTTACATTCAATTCCTATCTCATCTTGTGCCCATTCAAAGTGGACACTTCAACCATATGGAAAGGCCATTTCTATTTCTAGGTGACTGGAGTACAAATGTGATAACAGATGCTCTGTTGGCAGGTCCACCTTTTAAAATTTTTTTAAAGATTTATTTTATCTATTTGAAAGGTGGAGTTACAGAGAGGCAGAGGCAGAGAGAGAGAGAGAGAGTTCTTCCATCTGATGGTTCACTCCCCAGATTGCAGCAACAGCTGCAACTGTGCCAATCTGAAGCCAGGAGCCAGGAGCTTCTTCCATGTCTCCCACATGGGTGCAGGGGCTCAAGCACTTGGGCCATCTTCTATTGCTTTCCCAGGCCATAGCAGAGAGCTGAATTGGAAGTGGGACATCTGGGACTTGAACCAGTCCCCATATGGGATTCTGGCACTATAGGTGCCAACTTTATGCATTACACCACAATACCAGCCCCATCTCTACCTTTTTTATTTAGTATCCTGAGGACAGTCTTACAAGTGATTCTCTCCACTTAAAATGCAACAAGTTGAGACACTGCATTGGCCCTGGGCATAGCCCATGGGGATATTCTAGTGCTATTCATGAACTGCAAACCTCAAATCCAAAAATAAACATTTTAAGGGAAACCTATGCTTGCATTGAAAATATAATCCAAATAATGGCAAAATTGTAATATTATTCCAGAAAGTGTTGACTTTAAGATCAAAGCATTTTTAGAAACAGAACCTTCAGTATTGATAAAGGATTCAAACTATTGGGATGATTTAAGTATTATAAACAGTGTTTGCTGACCCAACTGAATCCTACCGTAAATAAAATGATTTTGGGTAGTGTAATGAGGTAGACAAATCATAGTGGGAGACACAGTCACCTCTCACTGTGGGATTTAGACAGATATCTAATATGTGGACATGCAACTATGTCAATTATTATCATTCAAAGTACAAGCTCCAAATATTTGCTTTCGTTGATTTTTTTTTCCCACCAAGCCAGCAAAGTATAATCCATAAACACAGGAACTATCCCACATTAAAGGAGAAGTTAAATTCTAAGTACATGAGAGTTTGCCAGAGTCCATGCTCTGTACAACCCTGGGAATTATGTGTTGGGTCTATTACTGGTCCCATCCTGGAGCCTCTTTCCAGAAGAGTAGGCTTTTACTGGCTGCAGTAACCGCACTTTTCTACATAGAGTCATCTTTGGGTAGTCAGGGGACTTCCAAATTCCAATGAGAATTAGCTCACAAAGGGATGGAAGTGTGTATTTGAGTGAACTTGGGAACATTCTAATAGAGTAAGAGTTAACTGTATAGTCTCAATTCTGGGTCTCAGTTCTTGAGTCTGCAAACTTCAGGAATGAGATGAGGAAGATGGAAGAGTGAATGGAGATGCTATGATGTATTGTGCAAATTAAAGATTATTTTGATGCAAAGAAACATGAAACTACATGTAGTATTTCATAATATATTTTCACATATACTTATTAACTAGCCCCATATTTTTTTTTTATTTGACAGAGTTACAGACAGTGAGAGAGACAGATAAAAAAGTCTTCCCTCTACTGGTTCACTCCCGAAATGGTCGCTACGGCCGGCGCTGCACTGATCCGAAGTCAGAAACCAGGTGCCTCTTCCTGGTCTCCCATGTGGGTACAGGGCCCAAACACTTGGGCCATCCTCCACTGCCCTCCTGGGCCACAGCAGAGAGCTGGACTGGAAGAGGAGCAACTGGGACTAAAACCGGTTCCCATATTGGATGCTGACACCACAGGCGGAGGATTAACCAAGTGAGCCATGGCACCGGCCCCTAACCCCATATATTTTTAACATTTTTGCATAGTAAACCTATATTTTTGTTCCATTTTCCACAAATGTATTTAACTATGGGAGATATAAACATTCTGTCCATAACCTTACAGGAAGATGCATTTGTTGTGATAATAGTTTGAGCCGTGGTGGGTGGATGTTCATGATGAAAAGCTACAATAGGACAGCAAGAGAAAAACAGGAAACATAAATTCCCAGGGAATGGAGTCACTCACAGACAAGAGGGAGTTGACTCCTGGTGAAAAAAATCTTCACTGGTCATTAGAAGGGCACAGATGGTAGCAACCTCTGCAAGGTTTATCTTTTAGGCATAGAAGGATTCCCATTTTGGGGGGAGTTCAAGAACTATCCCAAGACCTTAAACAATTTTGTAAAACTTAAGCAATATTGAATCTGGAAGACTGTTTTCCAACTTACTCTGAAATCCAGTGGCTTTAAGTGTACATAGCTAGTAAAG